TGTGAGTGAGTAAGTGAATGATGTGTGTGTGTGAGAGTGATGTGTGTGTGTGTGTGTGTGAGTGATGTGATGTGTGTGTGTGTGTGAGTGATGTGTGTGATGTGTGTGATGTTGTGTGTGTGTGAGTGAGTGAGTGAATGATGTGTGTGTGTGTGTGTGTGATGGTGTCTGTGTGTGTGTGTGAGTGGTGTGTGTGTGTGTGTGATGTGTGTGATGTTGTGTGTGTGTGAGTGAGTGAGTGAATGATGTGTGTGTGTGTGTGTGATGGTGTCTGTGTGTGTGTGTGAGTGGTGTGTGTGTGTGTGATGTGTGTGATGTGTGTGTGTGTGTGAGTGAGTAAGTGAATGATGTTGTGTGTGTGTGAGTGAGTGAGTGAATGATGTGTGTGTGTGTGTGTGTGTGTGTGATGGTGTCTGTGTGTGTGTGTGAGTGGTGTGTGTGTGTGTGTGATGTGTGTGATGTTGTGTGTGTGTGAGTGAGTGAGTGAATGATGTGTGTGTGTGTGTGTGTGTGTGTGTGATGGTGTCTGTGTGTGTGTGTGTGAGTGGTGTGTGTGTGTGTGTTATGTGTGTGATGTTGTGTGTGTGTGTGTGTGAGAGTGATGTGTGTGTGTGTGTGTGTGTGAGTGATGTGATGTGTGTGTGTGAGTGATGTGTGTGATGTTGTGTGTGTGTGTGAGTGAGTGATGTGATGTGTGTGTGTGTGAGTGATGTGTGTGATGTGTGTGATGTTGTGTGTGTGTGAGTGAGTGAGTGAATGATGTGTGTGTGTGTGAGAGAGAGAGTGATGTGTGTGTGTGTGTGTGTGTGTGTGTGTGAGTGATGTGATGTGTGTGTGTGAGTGATGTGTGTGATGTTGTGTGTGTGTGAGTGAGTGAGTGAATGATGTGTGTGTGTGAAAGTGATGTGTGTGTGTGTGTGAGTGATGTGATGTGTGAGTGATGTGTGTGATGTTGTGTGTGTGTGTGTGTGTGAGTGAGTGAGTGAATGATGTGTGTGTGTGAAAGTGATGTGTGTGTGTGTGTGAGTGATGTGATGTGTGTGTGATGTGTGTGATGATGTGTGTGTGTGTGTGTGTGTGTGTGTGTGTGTGTGATGGTGTCTGTGTGTGTGTGTGTGTGAGTGGTGTGTGTGTGTGTGTGATGTGTGTGATGTTGTGTGTGTGTGTGAGTAAGTGAATGATGTGTGTGTGTGAGAGTGATGTGTGTGTGTGTGTGTGTGTGTGTGTGTGAGTGATGTGATGTGTGTGTGTGAGTGATGTGTGTGATGTTGTGTGTGTGTGAGTGAGTGAGTGAATGATGTGTGTGTGTGAAAGTGATGTGTGTGTGTGTGTGTGTGAGTGATGTGATGTGTGAGTGATGTGTGTGATGTGTGTGATGTTGTGTGTGTGTGAGTGAGTGAGTGAATGATGTGTGTGTGTGTGTGTGTGATGGTGTCTGTGTGTGTGTGTGAGTGGTGTGTGTGTGTGTGATGTGTGTGTGTGTGTGAGTGAGTAAGTGAATGATGTGTGTGTGTGAGAGTGATGTGATGTGTGTGTGTGAGTGAGTGATGTGTGTGATGTTGTGTGTGTGTGTGAGTGAGTAAGTGAATGATGTGTGTGTGTGTGTGTGAGTGATGTGATGTGTGAGATGTGTGTGATGTTGTGTGTGTGTGAGTGAGTGAGTGAATGATGTGTGTGTGTGAAAGTGATGTGTGTGTGTGTGTGTGTGTGAGTGATGTGATGTGTGAGTGATGTGTGTGATGTGTGTGATGTTGTGTGTGTGTGAGTGAGTGAGTGAATGATGTGTGTGTGTGAAAGTGATGTGTGTGTGTGTGTGAGTGATGTGATGTGTGAGTGATGTGTGTGATGTGTGTGATGTTGTGTGTGTGTGAGTGAGTGAGTGAATGATGTGTGTGTGTGTGTGTGAAAGTGATGTGTGTGTGTGTGTGAGTGATGTGATGTGTGAGTGATGTGTGTGATGTGTGTGATGTTGTGTGTGTGTGAGTGAGTGAGTGAATGATGTGTGTGTGTGAAAGTGATGTGTGTGTGTGTGTGTGTGTGTGAGTGATGTGATGTGTGAGTGATGTGTGTGATGATGTGTGTGTGTGTGTGTGTGTGTGTGTGATGGTGTCTGTGTGTGTGTGTGAGTGGTGTGTGTGTGTGTGTGTGTGATGTGTGTGATGTTGTGTGTGTGTGTGAGTGAGTAAGTGAATGATGTGTGTGTGTGTGTGTGTGAGTGATGTGTGTGATGCAGAAGACGCGCGCGTGCACACGCACTGAGGGAGCGCGGTGTTCACCGGACTATGGTCAAATAATGACGCAGTTACAAGGTGTGTATAATTTAAACTAGGCTACTTAGTCAACACTAACAGAAGCTGCTGTTCGGTTTTCAAACGCTGCTCTCCTGCTAGTCACTTCTGAACTTCTATTGATTAAAGCGCAGGGTGACGGGTTGCCAGATATCACAAAAAGAGCAAAACAAGCCCCTTAAAAACGCAGTGTAGCCTAAGCAGACATGGCACAAATGTACCGGGGAACACATTTAAACATAACTAATATTACTATCCTACAAAATTAAAAGGAAATAACTCATTTATCATGAATAGAATAGTTCAATATAAAATATTCAGATATTATAAACTGATTGATGAAGTAAAGCATAAAATGATTGAAAAATGATTCAGAAATACTTTATTTAAAGTTTAATTGAACCTATGAGTTGTATTTAATATCAATCAGTTGGGGGCAGTTCATCTAAAAGTTGATGAGTGTGTTTTGTTTATATTTAGCTATCTAAATAGTTTACCAAAGAAATAATTTACCAAATAAGAGAAACAGAAAACAATGTGAAGTACTTTTTTTATTTCTAAAGTATTTGGGTTTATTTATTATACAAAGCCCTTTTTGTCGATTTTTCGAGAATAACTACATATAAATATCTATATCGTGAAATATATCGTTACCGTGAAATAAAATTAGTCATACCGTGAAATAGAATTTAGGTCATACCGCCCACCCCTAGATGTGTGTGTGTGAAAGTGATGTGTGTGTGTGTGTGAGTGATGTGATGTGTGAGTGTGATGTGTGTATGTGTGTGTGATGATGATGATGTGTGTGTGTGTGTGTGTGAGGAGGCTCATCGGGGGCTGTTTTTACAGCCGCTGGCCTGTGTGAAGCTGTTTTGTTTCTCGGGTTGAACTTTCCCAGGAGTCTTTGCTGTCTCCCAGACACTGGCGCTCTGACCCCGCGGGACGCCTCTGATCCGGGATCAGCTCTTACTGAACATCAGGAGTGTGTGTTCCCTCTCCACTTATTAGTGTTCGTTTACTGTAATGGACGTACATTAGTCTGATCGCTCTTTTTGCTTGTTTACATAAACGATGTAAGAGCCGCGTGTCGGTCCTGATGCGTCGCCATGGCAACAGCAAAAGAGACTCTTCCTGTAACCGGCTGTATTTCGGCTCGGGCGTTAAGAGGTTTCTGGGAAATGTGAAATGTTTCTCACTCATGTTCTTGAGCGTTTGAGAGGGGCTTTCTGGGTAAGATGTCACGGCGCTGCTGATGCTCTGAGCCAGACTGAGATGTTCGGCTAAGATTGGTTTTTAAACACTTTATGGAACTATAACAAATTATGGCAATTCTTTATCAGTGGATTAAAAACAGACCTTATTTTCTTCATGAGTTCTGTTGAAACGTATGGAGGGATCTAACCAACTACATTAAATTAATATGTAATGAGAATTATTAAATATTTCATGGAATATTCAAATAAATAAATAAAGTGCATTAAAATGTACATGATGTCGTATTTCAGGTCACTCTTATTTTATAATTAAGTAGCTACATTTCACGTGATATTTATTTAGACTATATATTTGTAGTCAATTATGCTTATGTTCATTGATGCAATATTACAAAGATATATTTATTTTTGTTATATATTGATTTTAGTCTTCATAGAAACTGAAAGATCTTTGTGCAGTAAATCCCATATGAACTTGTGTGTGATTTGGGGACTCTGATGAAAATACTAGTGAGACGTGTTGTTGCTCTCGAACAACAGCTGTGTGTGTGAGTGTGTGAGTGTGTGTGTGTGTGTGTGTGTGTGTGCAGACAGGTGTGAGTGTGTCTGTGTGCGTGTGTGTGTGCTCAGACAGCTGTGTGTGTGTGTGTGTGTGTGTGAGTGTGTGTGTGTGCTCGCTCAGACAGCTTTGTGTGTGAGTGTGTGTGTGTGTGTGTGTGTGTGTGTGTGTGTGTGCAGACAGGTGTGAGTGTGTCTGTGTGCGTGTGTGTGTGCTCAGACAGCTGTGTGTGTGTGTGTGTGTGTGTGTGTGTGTGCTCGCTCAGACAGCTGTGTGTGTGAGTGTGTGTGTGCAGACAGGTGTATGTGTGTCTGTGTGTGTGTGTCTGCAGACAGGTGTGTGTGTACAGACAGGTAGGTGTGTCTTTGTGTGTGTGTCTTCAGACAGCTGTGTGTGTGTGTCTGTGGTCAGAGACATTAAGAAAGTCAACATTTTGCTTAATTCATGAATTAATCTCTACAGGATCTTCCCGTTGTGTATTTGGGTCAGTAAAGGTAATCAGGTGAGGTATTAACACACACACACACACACACACACACACACCGTAGTGCCGGAAGTCCTGATCCCGTTTCCAGCACAAGCAACAGAATCATGTGTTCATGATGTGCATGTCTATGTTCTCAAGCTCTTATTCCTTCCCCAACATGATTTATGCTTCAAATGAATGATAAGCGGATTGATGTCAGCGTATGCGGCCACATATTGGCGCAGCAGATGTCAGTGCTAATGCACGTCTGTGGCGCTAATCCTGTTAGAGCGAAGGATTGGCGATGACAGACGCAGGAAGCTGACAGTGATCAGCAATCATGAATCGCCTCAACTTCACCAAACTGTGTCGCTTTTCCGTGGGTCTTTTTCCCGGTTTTTGTACTATCGTGTGATTGGTGTGTGTGTGTTTTTGTGGCTCATGAGTGTGTGTTTGTGTCTCTCCTCTCCCAGCTGGCCGAGTACCGGCAGAGGAAAGCTCAATCCGATGGCCAGAAGAAGCAGAAGAAGAAGAGAAAGAAGCCAGAGTCGGATGCAGAGGAGCGTCTGAGAGAAGAGCCGAGTCGAGATGAGGGAGACGAGCAGCCGGGGGATCAAAACACCGTGTTTTCGCTCTCCAAGACCCTGCGCAGCGGAGAGAGCGTCACACACGAGCAGACCTACAGCATCGAGGTGAGCAGAGGCGTTCACCAGCGCTCGGGGGGGAGGGGGGCTGTTTCACACGGGCGGAAATGTAACGCAAATTTTTGTTCATTTACATTTATTCATGTAATGCACACTTTAAGTGGGCGATTTAAAAAGTGTTGGGGATATTTATGTTAAATTATATTTTTTAAAACATACGTGCAGAGTGTGACGTCATATTGTGTGTGCGCGTAGAAAGCAGCCGCTCAACTCCCGAGCGCAGCTCCACCGCCAGGGTTGTGTACGGTACAGGCTCTGGGCAAGTTTTGTTGTGTTCATTTCTATTTCCCGTCGCTGTACAGGCTCTTTTATTGTATTTGACCGTGTAAACAGCCCAATAACCCTTTTATTTAAAGACTTAATTTATGTCCCGTAGACCGGTCCGTTGCATTACGATTGAAAGCAGTGTCAACAATGTCAAGTTCGGGTGTGTGTGCTGTTTAAATGAGTGTTCTCATGTTGTGATACGCAGAGTTTTGACGAGTTTTATGGACTTGTTTCTTATCCAAAAACCAGCACCCCCAACCTAAAACATCTTCCCGCGCCCCTGCATTGCGTATATTACTTTGTGTTTCTCTTTTTGTTACACAGAGAACACATGATCGCTGGCTGTGTTTGCACGTACGCCAGAAGTTTTATTTATTTATTTATTTATTTCTACCAAAACATTAGCATGGCTCTCAACTTACTTGTCAAATAGGAAGCAGTGTGTTAGAATTAAAAATGTACGCTCTAGTTATGTGAAAAACACAATGGGAGTGCCTCAGGGATCTGTATTAGGTCCTTTACTTTTTAGTCTTTATATTAATGATCTTCCACAACACTGTAATGGAGTTGACATACAATTATATGCCGATGACACTGTTTTGTACACACATGCAAAAAATGCTAAGCTAGCAGCAGAGAAATTAACTTATGCCATGCAAAGTGTTGTTGAATGGCTTGAACAATCTTGTCTTACCTTAAATATTAGTAAGACAAAGGGTATGTTCTTTAGTAAAAATAAGGGGCAGACTCAAACTGCAGATATTTTAATTAAAAACGAAGCAATTGACATAGTTACTGAATTTAAATATCTTGGATTCATCTTAGATTCAAATTTTAATTTTAAGAAACACATTAAGAAAATGACAAAACTATCAAATACAATTTGGCAAACTTTAGACAGATTAGATTGTTCCTCCCTATGGATGTAGCCAAAATATTTATGCATGCTTTAATTTTTTCACACATCTCATATTGTATCACCTGTTGGGGACAAGCCAGTGTCTGCCATTAGACCTCTAGAATCACTATACAAGCAAGCTATAAAAATACTTGATAAAAAGCCATTTCGCTATCACCATTGCAAGATCCTCATTGTTTCCCCTAGGATTTTTTTTCAGGGCGGGGGCTGCTAGTGTTGCGGAGCGGGCGTGTTACGGATACGTGGTGTAAATTTTTTAGCAATCAAAAAGCATGTCTAATTAATTGAAATAGTGTATTATGAATCATTAAACGTATACAACATTGAAAAAAAAATATGAAAAAAAATGTCACACTAATTCTGTGTTGTGTTTTTTCTGGTAATAAAATGAAGACATAAAACACAAATTTTATCATGTATCATCAATTTTAATCATACGAAATTAAATAAACTTTTTGTCAAATAACGTGCTGCACAATGAGCTTTACTGTTAAAATTAAAACATGGATTATTCCTTAAATTCAGTTTTGTGAGATTGTTTTTATTTGTACCCTGCCAGGGGACTGCAGATGTAAAATAGCCTATGGCTAACTCTGGTACAATGCATCAAATGGCAACATTTATGTTATAGATTGTACATGGTCCCTAATAAATAAATAATAATTAAAAAATAATAATAAAAAATTGCTACAATTATTCAGTAGTGACCCACTCAGGTTAAGATGTTTACGTGACACGGGCTGTTTTGTCGTGCTTTAATGCACATGTTCAATTCAAATGCAGTTTGTTGCAGTTGTTTTTATTTGCCTGCCTTTAACCTGTTAAAGTCAATAATTTTTGATCTTTGATCACCAAAATTATATATTAAATGTTTTTTCCTTGAATTTTTTTTCTATATGACTTAAAAATATCTTGAATGTAACTCGACACCCTCGCCTCATTTAGTATGCACGGTTCTATGAATATGCAAATGACTCCCTCACTCAGCTCAGAGATCCACTGGTTGACGATCACACGTTGATCTGATTGGTTACAAGGTCGTTTGTGACGTCAGAAACACCAGCGATTTCAAACCGTGGTTTTGAGACTGTCTTTGGTTCACTGCCGCTGCAAAATAAAACCGCAATTTCACAACAATTATAAAGAGTCTGTGCGCTACACTATTAAAAGTTATTAATTCAGGTAGGACACCACTGAAGGCCTAGTGTGAAATGCACCGCCCGCTACTGATATATATATGTATGTATGCACAACAAAAAAAAAAGCTTAAAATTATTATTTTTTTTACATTAAACCATTTAACTGATAGTATTAATCGGTCAAAATTTTTACTTTCGGTTAACGGTTAAACAGTCAATATGAGCATCCCTAATATATATATATATATGTATATATGTATGTATGTATATTATGCACACTGAATTTTTTTCCGCAGCTCTTTTGCCAAATGAATGCGATTATAAATGCGTAGATGATTTTAAAGCCTGGCAGGTTTAGGCTGCATTTGTAGTTATAGATGAGTGTGAAATTAGTGGTTGCCTAGGCAACAGACAACTGCGTTTGAACTGGTTAAGTGTGAGTGTGTGTGTTTGAGTGCGAGTGTGTGTGTTTGAGTGTGTGAGTGTGTATTTAAGTGTGTGTGTATTTGAGTGTGTGTGTGTTTGAGTGTGTGTGTTTGAGTGTGTGTGTTTGAGTGTGTGTGTTTGAGTGTGTGTGTTTGAGTGTGTGTGTGTTTGAGTGTGTGTGTGTTTGAGTGTGTGTGTGTTTGAGTGTGTGTGCTTGAGTGTGTGTGCTTGAGTGTGTGTGTGTGTGTGCTCCGGTGTCCTTGCAGCAGAGTAGCAGCACTTCTCCCGCTATTCTCTCCGCTCTGAATGCACCGAGTGCTTCATCATCAGCGGTTCCTCCAGGACACTAGCGGCGGATCGCCTCGTCGGTGTGGTTACGCGGCTCCGTCTCTGTGTTTGAGTTAACAACACTCCTCTTAAAGGGATACTCCACCCAAAAATGAAAATTCTGTCATCATTCACTCACCCTCAAGTTGTTGCCACCCTGTATGAGTTTCTTTCTTCTGCTGAACACAAAGGAAGATATTTTGAAGAACGATTGGAACCATTGACTTCCATAGTGTTTTTTTTTCTACTATGGAAGTCAGTGGTGCCAAACAACTGTTTGGTTCCAATCGTTCTTCAAAATATCTTCCTTTGTGTTCAGCAGAAGAAAGAAACTCATACAGGTTTGCAACAAGGGTGAGTAAATGATGACAGAATTTGATCCCTTTAAACCCAGGCACAGTCTTGCAGGACTCCTCTGATTGAGCTCCGACAGCACCGGTTCCACATCTTTCCAAAGAGAAGAAATAGTGTAATGAATAGTTGACACACGTGTACATTATTTAAATTACCACTGCAAAGTTTCAAGTGGCCGTGTCACTTCCTCCTGCAGCTGTTGCCATGGAAACAACGTTTGTGACTGTGCTGAAATCTGACACAGTAGATATTAAACTATTGTTATGGCGAATATGCATGTCTGATGGTTTTGCGACCTTTTCTCCTGCCACTGTGACTACATTTTGTTAGAAGTTCCCAACTGATAAGAGCCGCCGCTTCTGTTGCATATGAGAAACCTTAGACGGCTAACGGAACGAAAGCAAAACAAAGCCGCGCTTCTCGTTTATGCTGTTTTTCATCTCGGAGTATTAAAACAGGTTTACTCACTAGGCTCGCTACGGTAGTCGGTGTTACCGCGCAACACTGCTAAACTGAACATGTCTGCTTAATAAACCGTGTTTATTAACCGCATATTTAAGCGAATTTGTCATTGTACTGTTTTGTTGTTGTGTTTGTCATTAAGAATAATAGGCTAATGAACTAAACATTCAAGTAATCTGCCCCGAATTGGTGCTAATTTGAAAACGAAACTAAAATGTGCTCGGCTGCACATGTCAACCGGAGCGACTGCTTTCGTTGACACGTGTGGCCGTGCATATGTTAGTTTCGTTTTCAAATTAGCGCCAATTCGGGGCTCAACAACACAACAGTGCCATTATGAATGCCCGTGCAAACGCGCGCATTTTACGTTTGCCCTTAAAGGATTAGTTCACTTTTAAAAAAACTTTTGCTGATAATTTACTCACCCCCATGTCATCCAAGATGTCCATGTCTTTCTTTCTTCAGTCGAAAAGAAATTAAGGTTTTTGATGAAAACATTCCAGGATTTTTCTCCATATAATGGACTTTACTGGGCAGCAAACGGTTCAAGGTCCAAAAGACAGTTTCAGTGCAAACTGCAAACTGTTCAAAGGGCTTTAAACGATTCCAGACGATGAATAATGGTCTTATCAAGCGAAACGATCGCTCATTTAAAAAATTAAGCACTAAGGGGCCTAAAGTGTGCCAGGAAAACATCCCCCACACCATTACACCACCACCACCAGCCTGCACAGTGGTAACAAGGCATGATGGTTCCATGTTCTCATTCTGTTTACGCCAAATTCTGACTCTAACATCTGAATGTCTCAACAGAAATCGAGACTCATCAGACCAGGCAACATTTTTCCAGTCTTCAACTGTTCAATTTTGGTGAGCTCTTGCAAATTGTAGCCTCTTTTTCCTATTTGTAGTGGAGATGAGTGGTACCCGGTGGAGTCTTCTGCTGTTGTAGCCCATCCGCCTCAAGGTTGTGCGTGTTGTGGCTTCACAAATGCTTTGCTGCAAACCTCGGTTGTAACGAGTGGTTATTTCAGTCACTGTTGCCCTTCTATCAGCTCGAACCAGTCTGGCCATTCTCCTCTGACCTCTGGCATCAACAAGGCATTTCCGCCCACAGAACTGCCGCTCACTGGATGTTTTTTCTTTTTCGGACCATTCTCTGTAAACCCTAGAGATGGTTGTGCGTGAAAATCCCAGTAGATTAGCAGTTTCTGAAATACTCAGACCAGCCCTTCTGGCACCAACAATCATGCCACGTTCAAAGTCACTCAAATCACCTTTCTTCCCCATACTGATGCTCGGTTTGAACTGCAGGAGATTGTCTTGACCATGTCTACATGCCTAAATGCACTGAGTTGCCGCCATGTGATTGGCTGCTTAGAAATTAAGTGTTAACGAGCAGTTGGACAGGTGTACCTAATAAAGTGGCCGGTGAGTGTATGTTTTCTATGTGAATATACAGTAAAATGTAATTTTTTATCCTGTGATCAAAGCTGAATGTTCAGCATCATTACTCCAGTCTTCAGTGTCACATGACCCTTCAGAAATCACTCTAATATGAGGATCTGATGCTCAAGAAACATTTATGATTATAATCAGTGTTGAAAGCAGCTTCATATTTGTGTGGAAATCTTAACTAATCCAAATGTTTGGCCAGTAGTGTATATAACCAATAAAAATACCATATATATATTAAACTTTGTCTCATTTTGCTATCATTAAACAATATTAAATCTTAGTTTTATCAGTCCACCACTAGTCACTAACATCATGAACCTCATACTAGATGATCTGTTGTAAATGTTTTAGCTTTCATGTGTTAATGTGTCCAGTGTTAGTGTGTGTTAGCGGTTCTGTTGGGTTATTCTGAGCTGATGTAGGTCAGACGTTCATGCATCAGTGTAATTAGCCGTGATCCTCGCTAAAGCAAACGAGTGCATCGGGCCGCCAGGGCCAGTCATGCGTTACCCCTGACGAGACGCTGAGGAGTGTGTGTGTTCTCTGATATGGTGGTTAAAGAGACGCTGAGGAGTGTGTGTTCTCTGATATGGTGGGTTTCCTTCAGATCCTTTGCTTTATTTTCAAGATGGCTGTTTTTTAAAAGCGTGTCGGTCTTGATCAGTGACCCACTAACACCGAAGACTCAATTATCTGCACTTAATTGCACATGTGACCTCATTTTGTCTTCTTTCTCCAGCCCGAGAGTGAGGTCTCGACGACGGCTGAAGACTGTTCGTCTGAGGTAAGATCTGCACCTGAAGTGTGTTTAGGCCTGTGTGTGTGTTCTCAGGCTGAGGTTGAGTGAGTCAGGTTTGCTTTGTTAATGACTCGTGGGATGAAACTGTGCTTGTGGACGGTTCATGATGCAGAAACCTTCAGCGTTTGCTTGTGCTCATGCATCATGTGACCTGCGGTTGCCAGGCAGTGAAGGCTTGACGATCCTGCCTGAAATGAAGACCTTGAAGAGGCCGAAGTCTCACAGAGACCGAAGCTGAAAACGGCTCAGTCCAGAACCACATCAAGACAGATCACGACGCATAATATGAATAATCTATAGTATATGCTTTATTTAATTGAATAATAATACGATTAATAATGCTAGTTCTGTCTTATCTATTTAACTATTTTATTTTTAGCACATTTCCTCCAATTATTATTAATTTATTTGTTTTTAAGCACATTTATTCTCAATTACCAATACATAAACTATTTATTTATTTATATTAAGCACATTTATCCTCAATTATCCATATGTTTCAAATGTAGAATGAAACATAAGTTAAAATAAGATTAAATAAGGTGAGAAAATTAAATAGAAAATTATTCTATTACAGAAATATAATGCAGGAAAATACTGAATCTAACCAGAGTCAGCATTGAGAATTACAGAAGCTCAACATCTGCACACATTACAGTATTTGAAGGGTTAATGTGGTCAATTTTAGGGTAAATGATGTCATGTTTTGTGCTGTGATTTTGTGTGTGCACTCTTTCATGTGTGATGTTGTGAACTGACAGGTAAATGGTTTCCAGGAGAGGACAGACAGTGATTTCCCATGGTCCTCCTGTGTGATCGGGGTACAGTAGTTCCCTCGCTGCGTCTCTCTCTCCTCCTAACACACTAACCTCACATCACTCCCCTGTTTACCTCTACCTTTACCTTTAGCTGTGGACATGCTAATGCTGCGGAGATGCTAACGCTGTGGACATGCTAATGCCGAGGCGTTCTGTGCCATTTTAACCGCGCTCACTCAAATCACGGCTGCTTGGCATTGTGTTGGGTGTATATTATATTGGTGGAGGAGAGCGTGTAAAAATGCTTATATAAGAGAGAGTTCAGCTTTTTCAGGGAATAAGGCTGTGTGTCCAACAAGCGACAGACGCTCTTCTGGAAATGCTTTGGCTGCTATGAAAGTGTTACTAGTATCTGATTTCACAGAGAGTTTCTTTCTGAATATAAAATGTCGAGACACTGTACAGTAGCTCTTCATCTGTTGCTGCTTTACAAGTGGGATGTGGTGATTGGTCGCTGTGGTATTTGCCCCGCCCTTCCTCCGCTGTGATTGGACGACAGTGATAAGCGCTGCGTTTTACCCACAGTTGAACGTTTTTTTCAACTCTGCATCCGCCTCGTCACGCTTCTGGCGCGTGGCGCTCCCATTCAAAACAATTGGAAAAGTACGCTGGCCTTAGCAGAAATTACGCTTTTGTGGACACACGGCCTTGCCTATTGACAGACAAGGAACGAGAATATAGAAAAGAGAATTCAGAAGTGTTATTTTAGTGTAATTAAGACACTATTATAGTTTTTATTGTAAATATTAATTATAATATTTAGTATTAATAGATTTTTATTTTGAATTAATTTGTGGTTTTGTTTTAATTTTAATAACCATTTTAGTAATTTTGTTGAGTGTTTTTGTAATTTTTATTAGTTTTAAGTAATTTTTTTATTTCATTTTTTTTTTTTTGTTCATCAATATGGAGGGCCAAATTACTCAAAATGAAATCATTAAATAAATGTTGAAAACAAAAATCATTCAGTTAATTTTTAAATCACCAAGTAAAATGTATTGTCCAGGGCTCGAGACTAACGGCGTCCTATCGTCCTGGGGACGATAGAAAACGTGTTTAGGACGAACAGAAATATTCTCCAGGACGCCTACAGGACGAAAGATATTTTTGTATGCGTGTTCATTTATTTCTAGCCTATGGGCTAACTTACTTAGAAAATGTCAAAATTAACCGACCAAGTGCTGACTACAACGGAGCGCGTCTTCTCATGCTATATAGCCTAACGTTACTATCACCGGCTACTCACCCAGAGACTTGTTCCGCGGTACATCTATCAAATGGCTTAATGACATCGTAAATATGTTGCGCTGGTTAAACAACAGATATTCAACGAATAAAAACTAGACAAAAATGTTAGATAGTGACGATTTGGGAAGCGATCCAGTCATAACTGATGTCCTGCGTGTAGATGCGCACATTTGTACGGTAACGTGCTGATCTACCCAGCGGGACACGGGTTGACATGCGCTGCATGTTTCATAAAACGTTAAAATATGTAAACGTCTGGGAGAATGAGTAGAGCAGAGATATATATATCTGAATAAGAGTGACGACGCAAAAAATAGCTCTATTCGGTTTTCTGTGCGCACACACCCGACCGAAGCGTGCAGCCATTAGACGCCTATACAGCGCGCGAGGACTGATTGAGCTCTCTTTCGTGTCTGAGTGGACAAATACACACAACATTATGTCTAAATGTCCGTTTTGGAGAGTATTCATGTAAACTATGTTGGTTATGTCTTAAACAGTTGTGAGAGAATCGGATGTGCATCAGTGCCATTGTATCCGCATGTCATTAGACATGATCCGACGTCTTAAAGTGACAGTGCGTAATAAACCTAATGCGGTCCGTGTCCTTAATATTGATCAAGCAACAAAAGAAAAAAGAGAAAAGCATTCACTGCTCGTTAATAGCTTTAATGTTATATTTAATATAATTAGTTCATACAAATAACTGTCTGCTGCTTGAAAGAATAACGAATTATGTATGCAAGAAGTAGTTATAAAGAATGCATATATCATTAATTGAAAAGAAGACTGTTCTATTTTAGGAAAAGTGGTTTTATTTAATTTTAAGATATTTTAAGCAGTTAAATCTGTATCTGTATTGCATGTTCAAACTTTAAAATCATTCATATTAACAGGTTAATAGATGTTTTCTCCGGCACGAAGATCTCAGTACAAAGACTGAGATGAAAACAGAATTTCTCCCAAATTCTGTGTTCTAGAGAAGTCATATTACACTTTTTAAAGCCCTTTCTCTTATTAACACGTTTCCAGATGATCAGCTATGACACATTACCACTTTGAGATATTTAGTCACCAGTATTTATTTGTTATTGTTTAATCCAACCAACTCAAAAACGTTTTGAGCTGTATGTATTTTTCTCTTATTTTTCGTAGCCTATGTAAAAAAAATAAAAAGGAAAAAAAACATTTTTATTCTGCATGAATACAAAAAAACGACCAACAACTATAACTATAGATCATAATAACAAAGTACAGAAACAACCGTTTTTTTTTGGGACGGTTGACATTCACTTTAGGACGGTTCAAATTGGTTTTCAGGACGGTTCCAGGACGGAGGTGAAAAAAGTTAGTCTGGAGCCCTGGTATTGTATCTTTTATTTTAATCATTTTACCATTTGTTTGCGCTCATTTTATTTGTTTATTATTTATTTTATTTATTTTATTGTTTTTGGATTGTTTTTTATTTAAGCACGAGCTTGTGTAAATAAATTTTAAATAAAAAATTAGCACAAAAAATACTAAAATGACATAAAAGGTACATTTAGGAATTTGTTTGGTGATTCAATAATTAAGTGAATGATATTTATGTTTTAATAACTGATCCATAACATTTAATAATTAATCTTTCAAAAAAAAAAACTGAAAAAGAAAAACTGAAATAAATTGTTTTTTAACTATAATAACCCTGTAATTAATTAGAAATGTAGAAAAGATTAGTAAATAAAATCGGTTTGTTTTATAAAATATTTAATTTTATTTCAATTAACATTTTTTTTAGTTTCAAGGAATAACAATGTTTTAGTTAACTATAATAACCCTGAGATTCAGTAGAAGTTTCCCAGATTCTCCGGACCGCGCTCCGGCACCATTGGGTGGAAGGGGTGTTTAATGAATGCTTCTGGTTCTGGTTGTGACTCGTCTCTGGTTTCCCCGACAGGAGGAGGACCTCCCTCAGTCTGAAGCCCAGATGGAGCCGGACCCGCAGAGCCAGATCCAGGTCATGGAGGACGAGTTGGCTGCCAAGAGCACGGCCATAGAAGAGCTGAGCCGCGAGCTGGAGGAGATCCGGCGGGCGTTCGGGCCCGAAGGAGGGCAGCAGGTGCGTGTGCCCGTCCCGCTAACGACCCGTTGTTTAGGTCCCGATCACACCGAACGTGTTGTTCAGGTTTGAAAACCTGAGGCGCACCGAATTTCGAGTATTAAAATAAAGTATTTCGAAAATTAAAAATACTTCTGAGAAAGCAATTGATGTCCAGAGGTGATGGGTGAGAAATACTGGAAATACAGTGTTCGAGTGTGGTTTTTTGTTGCTAGGCAAGCACCCGAATCAGCGGTCCTGTCAGGCTAATCGAGGATTGTAGCGCGAGCGCTCTAGCTCTGTCATATTCACTTTTTATTAACTTTCTTTACTTTCTGTTAGCATTGGGGTAGTTACGGTTCGTGGAGTCGTTAAGCTCCTGGTGACCCGCGACAGCACCACAAGTTCCCCCTCCATCATCACAGTCTCCGGACCTTCAAAGCAACTGTGAACTCTCGTCACTTCAACGGAAGGCCCGCCTCTGCATCCATTTGATTGGACGGTGAAAAAAAACGCGATGACGTCGGGCGCTTTTCTGCTCAGAGTTGATTTTATGTTAACTTCAGGCGCTCAGAGACTCCTACAGAAATCATCAGCTAAAGAACACTTACACAGCAGCGTTTGCCCGAGGTTTAAACACAACTAGCCGAACTAATATACACTTCAAGCGTTATTAAAGACAATAAACACTCAGCAATTAAAAAAGAGGAAATAAAAAATGAGCAATCGCAGCAAATAGACACAACTGAACAAAGATACGATTGAAATAAACAGTGTTTTAAGATGTTCACTTACAGAAATTGTAATCAAATGTAAAATAACAGCAGTTTATTAATAAAATATATATTAGGGCTGCTGTCACTTTAAGAGCTGCACTGATCCAGTATACTGACACACACGCCTGAAAGCACACGTTAAATTTGCTACATAGCTACACGTTGTCAGAGACGCCCAGGGCTGCTGAAATGACGTGAACATTAGCTATAATGAAAACTATAACGATAACTATAAGTATAACGATAACTATAATTACTTTAGCATTCACACCAATGCACAATATCGTTTTATTATAAGTGCTGCTGAAGTTTTTGTCTGATCGAGCTCTTTATAGCAGGATGGATTCTGATTGGCTGTCAATGTTTTTATCGTTCATCAGCTGGAAAAAATCATTCTGGAAGTGATTCCAACATTTCTTTCTTTCTTTCTTTTGAACTAATCACTCTTTCTTTCCCGTGTGAACGTGTGTGAACCAATTTCCCAGGAAGTGATTTTGATTTCTTAAAGGTGCACTGTGTAATATTAAGGAGGATCTGTTGACACAAATGCAATATCATAAACATAACCATGTGTTCAGTGGTGTATGAAGAGCTTACATATGACCCGTTATGTTTTTATTAGCTTAGAATGAGGCATTATCTACACACACCGCGGGTCCGCTTACATCGACATGTTTCTACGGTGGCCCTGAACGGACAAACGCGTTTCGTCACTATGTTGTTCTTCGTGTAAAGAAGCGAATAACACACTGACACAATGATGAACAAGTAACAATAATATTCGCAATAACGTCGTTTTACTGAATAATTAAGTAAACCTAATTTCTTACTTCATCTTTGTAAAGAAAGCTCATTGATGAACTGGCTACTCTCTGCTGTCTCAGACGACGACATCACTTCCTGTCGGCCACCGTAACTTCTGTTGGGTGCAATTCACATCCTCACCACTAGATGCCGCTAAGACTTACACAGTGCACCTTTAAACGCATTGCATGACAACGCTGTTTAAAAAAAAAAAAATGTATATGCGTTATTCCAAATTTGCGCACAAGTTAAGTTTGCTACATAGCCACTCGGTCTGAAAACGCTGTCAGAGACGCGCGTCCAGGGTTGGTGAAATGACGTGTGTGATCGTGTGTGTGTGTGTCCACAGCTGCCGGAGTTCGAGGAGGCGCTGAAACAGAGGGACGAGATCATCACGCAGCTCACCGCTAACATGCAGCAGGCGCGGGCCGAGAAGGAGGAAGTGATGCGGGAGTTCCTGCAGCTCACCGAGCAAAGCCAGAAACTGCAGATTCAGTTCCAACAGGTACCAGACGCGTCGCTACTGTTCCTGCGGGATGCTTTATCTGCGGACCAAAACTTTATAAACTTTACTTTAATTATAATGATTGCGTTATTATTTAGAACAGCCTGTAACTACAAACATATTCAACTATAATGATAACTGTAACGATAACTATAATGATAATTCTAAAAATAACTGTAACGATAACTATAATGATAATTCTAAAAATAACTGTAACAATAACTGTAACAATAATTATAAAAATAACTAATGATAACTATAACTGTAATGATAATTAAAAAAATAACTAACGATAACTAACTGTAACGATAATTTAAAAAATAACTAATGATAACTATAACTGTAACGATAATTAAAAAAATAACTAATGATAACTATAACTGTAACGATAATTCTAAAAATAACTAATGATAACTATAACTGTAACGATAATTCTAAAAATAACTAATGATAACTAACTGTAACGATAATTCTAAAAATAACTAATGATAACTATAACTGTAACGATAATTAAAAAAATAACTAATGATAACTATAACTGTAACGATAATTCTAAAAATAACTAATGATAACTATAACTGTAACGATAATTCTAAAGTAACTAATGATAACAATAACTGTAACAATAATTATAAAAATAACTAATGATAACTATAACTGTAATGATAATTAAAAAAATAACTAACGATAACTAACTGTAACGATAATTAAAAAAATAACTAATGATAACTATAACTGTAACGATAATTCTAAAAATAACTAATGATAACTATAACTAACGATAATTCTAAAAATAACTAATGATAACTATAACTGTAACGATAATTCAAAAAATAACTAATGATAACTATAACTGTAACGATAATTCTAAAAATAACTAATGATAACTATAACTGTAATTATAATTAAAAAAATAACTGTAACGATAACTGTAACGATAATTCTAAAAATAACTAATAACTATAACTGTAATGATAATTAAAAAAATAACTAACGATAACTAACTGTAACGATAATTCAAAAAATAACTAATGATAACTATAACTGTAACGATAATTCTAAAAATAACTAATGATAACTATAACTGTAACGATAATTCAAAAAATAACTAACGATAACTGTAACGATAATTCAAAAATAACTTATAACTGTAACGATAATTTAAAAAAATAACTAACGATAACTAACTGTAACGATAACTACAACTTTAACGATAATTCTAAAAATAACTAACGATAACTATAACTTTAACGATAATTCTAAAAAACTGTAACGATAACTATAACTGTAACGATAATTCTAAAAATAACTGTAACGATAACTAACGATAATTCTAAAAATAACTAACGATAACTATAACTATAACGATAATTCTAAAAATAATTATAACGATAACAAACTTTAACGATCATTCTAAAAATAACTGAAACGATAACTATAACTTTAACGATAATTCTAAAAAACTGTAACGATAACTATAACTAACGATAATTCTAAAAATAACTAACGATAACTATAACGATAATTCTAAAAATAACTACGATAACTATAACTATAACGATAATTCTAAAAATAATTATAATGATAACAAACTTTACCGATAATTCTAAAAATAACTGTAACGATAACTATAACTGTAACGATAATTCTAAAAATAACTAACGATAACTATAACTGTAACGATAATTCTAAAATAACTATAACGATAACTATAACGATAATTCTAAAAATAACTGTAACAATAACTATAACTAACGATAATGCTAAAAATAACTGTAACAATAACTTTAACTGTAACGATAACTATAACTAACAATAATTCTAAAAATTACTAACGATAACTGTAACGTCTGAGGTTTACGGTTGTTATATATTGTATTGGTCGATACCCTGACGGTCTCGTTCTTCCTCCAGCTGCAGGCCGGGGAGATCCTGAGGAGCTCCAGCATCAGCTCCAGCATCAGCTCCACCGCCTCAGATCTTCTCCAGGCCCGTCAGCAGATCACGCTTTACCAGGAGAAGATCACACTGTACCAGCAGCAGCTGGACGAGAGTGAGGCGCAGGTAAAAGGTCACCAGGAGAAGATCACACTGTACCAGCAGCAGCTGGACGACAGGGACGCGCAGGTCAGAGGTCACCAGGAGAAGCTCATACTGTACCAGCAGCAGCTCGACGACAGGGACGCGCAGGTCAAAGGTCACCAGGAGAAGATCACACTGTACCAGCAGCAGCTGGACGACAGGGACGCGCAGGTCAGAGGTCACCAGGAGAAGCTGGACGAGAGGGACGCGCAGGTCAGAGGTCACCAGGAGAAGACACAGGAGCAGCTGATACTGATCACACAGCTTCAGGAGAGGCTGAGTGAAGCCGAGAAGGTGAGTTCACTGATGAGATCTGCTGCCTCGTTTCCACCAAAAAAGAACTGGTTCGGAACTGGTGCTGGTTCAAAGTTGGTTCAACTTGCGACCCTTCTCAGAACCTGTTTGTTTTTCCACTGACTAGAGAGCCCAGTCGTTACGGCCAACCTGTTGTTGGTCATCAGGCCAAATGATGGTATTGGTCATGGTGGTTCAGCTGATGCACAGGCACGTTTTTACACTCGTCGAAACAGCCAAACCTTCACCTTATAGCATTTGCGACTTAAAATAGATGTGTGTGTGTGAACTGTAAAATATATTTAGAGGAATGTGTGAGAATAACAACTAGGTGTTTAAAAAGTCTTAAATTCAGTTTTTCTTTACAGATTACAGCTTTTTTAATTTTATTTTTTATAAATCTTCCATTTAAATGAATGCTTAGTATATGCATAATTCTATAATTATTAAATAAATACAGTTTAAAGCAGAATTCTTTTTAAAACCTAGCATACCTGTATTTAAATAAATTAAATAATTTAGCTTGTAAACGTCTCCTCGTTACGGAAGCTCGTTTCCACCATGGAATAAACAATTAAAAGGTATTTTATCTTACAATTCTGAATTTCTCGCAATGAGAAAAAATTCTGAATTTCAGGTTATTAACTTTATATAGTTTATAAGTTTATATATAGTATATAGTTTATAACTCGCAATTAGGAATTTTGAGAAAAAGTGAGAATTGTTAGAAAAAGCCGCAATTACCTTTTTTTATTTGATGACTATGATTGTAACGATAATTATACAAAAAACTATAACGATGACTATGATTATACCTTAATTATAAAAATAGCTATAACGATGAAACGATGACTATGATTATAACGATAGTTATAAAAATAGCTATAACGATGACTATGATTATAACGATAATTATAAAAATAGCTATAACGATGAAACGATGTCTATGATTATAACGATAGTTATAAAAATAGCTATAACGATGACTATGATTATAACGATAATTATAAAAATAGCTATAACGATGAAACGATGACTATGATTATAACGTTAGTTATAAAAATAGCTATAACGATGACTATGATTATAACGATAATTATAAAAATAGCTATAACGATGAAACGATGTCTATGATTATAACGATAGTTATAAAATTAGCTATAACGATGACTATGATTATAACGATAATTATAAAAATAGCTATAACGATGAAATGATGTCTATGATTGTAACGATAATTATAAAATAGCTATAACGATGACTATGATTATAACGATAATTATAAAAATAGCTATAACGATGAAACGATGTCTATGATTGTAACGATAATTATAAAATAGCTATAACGATGACTATGATTATAACGATAATTATAAAAATAGCTATAACGAAGACTATGATTATAACGATAATTATAAAAATAGCTATAACGATGAAACGATAATTATAAAAATAGCCATAACGATGAAACGATGACTAGGATTGTAACGATAATTATAAAAATAACTAAAACGATGACTATGATTGTAACGATAATTATAAAAACAGCTATAACGATGAAACGATGACTATGATTGTAACGATAATTATAATATAGCTATAACGATGACTATGATTATAACGATAATTATAAAAATAGCTATAATGATGACTATGATTATAACGATAATTATAAAAATAGCTATAACGATGAAACGATGACTGATTGTAACGATAATTATAAAATAGCTATAACGATGAAACGATGACTATGATTGTAACGATAATTATAAAATAGCTATAACGATGAAACGATGACTATGATTGTAACGATAATTATAAAAATAGCTATAACGATGAAACGATGACTGATTGTAACGATAATTATAAAATAGCTATAACGATGAAACGATGACTATGATTGTAACGATAATTATAAAATAGCTATAACGATGAAACGATGACTATGATTGTAACGATAATTATAAAAATAGCTATAACGATGAAACAATGACTGATTGTAACGATAATTATAAAAATAACTAAAATGATGACTATGATTGTAACGATAATTATAAAAATAACTATAACGATGACTATGATTGTAACGATAATTATAAAATAGCTATAACGATGAAACGATGACTATGATCGTAACGATAATTATAAAAATAACTATAACAATGAAACAATGACTATGATTGTAACGAGAATTATTAAAATTCTTCAGCAATTACCTTTTTTTTTTCTGTGGTTGAAACCAGGTTTTATTAAAGGGGTCATCGGATGCAAAATTCTCTTTTATATGGTGTTTGCACATAAATGTGTGTGTGCAGTGTGTGGACACAACCACCATACACTGAAGAAAACCATTCACTCCTTTTTTTTAATCCTCAAAAAGCCTAAACACTCTCAATAATCAAGCCGTTTGGATTTTCTGAGCACTATGATGTCATATTGCTCATGCTCCGCCCACGACCGCTGACGGACTGTCCCGTATTAGCATATTAGCTAGATGTTTTTGAGGAGGTAAAAGGCTGTTGTTTTACACAATAATTTAGGAGTTTTAACCAAAGTATGTTGCAAACCTTACATGAAGACCCTAAAGACTCACACCAACTTGTGGAAAATGGGCATCCGACGACCCCTTCAGAAAAAAACGCCCAAATGAACCGTGTGAAAAACACCCTGACTGAATAGTGTGGTCAGTTTTTGTCTAATGAAATTAAATGCAACTTGTTTGAAATAAAAACATGCCGTTTTCTCTGTCATCAGTTCCACACAGAATCCGAAGAATCGTCTGCACTGAGTTTACGAGAAAAGGACTTGCTGAACACCGAACATCATCAGCGTCTGATCTCGGAGCATCAGCAGTCGATAACGCAGCTTCAGGATCAGCTTCTGACCAGCAAACAACAGGCGGAAGAAGCGAACAGGCGTTTGTCAGCGAAAGCCCAAGAGCTGGACATCTGCGAACGCGAGCTCACCGTGTCCAGGCAGAAGGAGCGCATGTCTTCGGGAGAAATCCTGCAGCTCATGAAAACCGTGGAGGATCTTCAGCAGCGCTGCCATCACCACGGCAGCCAATCAGAGCGCGACACGCTGCGAGCCGAGCTCGACGAGATGTACGGGGAGCAGATCGTGGCCATGAAACACGAGCTCCGGGTTCAACACGCGGCCGAAGTGGACCGAATCCGAGAGCAAAGTCGCGCCGAAGTGGAGAAAATCGTTCAGGAGCATCAATCCGAGATTGAGAAGTTCAAAGGTCAGGTGTTTCAGAGCAACGTCCTGAACGTGAGGGTCATCGAGCTCCAGCAGAAGCTGCAGGAGACGCTAGTGCTACGAGAGAAAGCGGAGCAGGAGTTAGCGCGGGTGAGTGGAGAGAAACTCAGTCTGGCGCATCAAGTTGAGCGTTTACACAACGAGTTGCGGAGTGTGAGGTCAGAGGTCAGTGAGGTGCAGCGCCTACGTGACGCGCTTGATGCCGCGCAGACGGCTAACGTCGAGCTCGAGGTCAAGCATGAATCAGAGATTACGAACTATAAGATTAAACTCGACATGCTAGAGCGGGAAAAAGACGCGGTGTTGGATCGCATGGCCGAGTCGCAGGAATCAGAACTGGAGCGACTCCGAACGCAACTCTTGTTCAGCCACGAGGAAGAGCTTTCCCGACTCCGAGACGACCTTCAGCGGGAAGGCCAGCTCAACGTGCAGAACCTGCGGGACGAGATGAGCGTGAGACACCGCGAGGCTATCGACGGCTACGAGGACAAGCTAGCGTCGGCGGAGAGCGAGAGAGTCGCGCTGCTTCAGGCGCTGAAACACAACGAGGAAAGCGGAAACTCTGAGGAGCTCGAGAGACCGAGACAGAGCGAAATCAGCAATCTCCTGGAGGACGTCAACAAGCTAACGTTGGAGAACGAGCAGGCGTCCGCGCGACTCGAGGAGCTTCAGGACGAGATCGACACGCAGAGGAACACCTTCTCCTTCGCCGAGAGGAACTTCCAGGTGAACTTCCAGGAGCTGAAGGACGAGTACGTGTTCATGGCTAACGCTAAAACACAACTAGAGGAGCGCCTGATCAGAGAAGCCGAGGAGTTCGAGAAGAGGCTCGCCGAGATGCGGACGAGCCGCGATGAGGTGGACGGGAGTGAGAAACACACGACCGAGCTGATGGAGAAGCTCGAGGCGGTCGAGAAAGAGAAGAAGAGTTTAGCCGAGCGGCTCTCGCTAGCGGAAGCGGATGCTAAGCGCCTGGCAGACGAGCTGGAGCTGAGGAATAAAGCGCTGGTTCGGGACTGCAGTGTTTCTGGTGGGCTGGAGACGCATCACACACACACCAGATCAGGGAGGGAGAGAGAGACGCCTGCGAGTACTACAGCGAGCCGGCTTGCTCCACACACACACACACACACTCACGACGAGCAGCTCGCGGTCTCCTTCAGCCTCACGCAGCAGGTAAGCAACATGCTACCGCCTCATGATGATTAAACAGAGCGCTCGTGCTCGTTCACGGCAACTCGTGATGCAACAGTTGGTTTTTATCTGCACTGCGTTTAAAAAGCTGCTGTTTTATCGGCAGACGGTCTGGGAATTATATATCTGTGCAGAACTGTGGGAGGAATCGATGCGCATCGAGGGCACTTACCGCGAGCGAGAAAGAACGAGGGATTATTGCCATTCGGACAGAGAGCAGGGTGAGCGAGGGGCGAGAGAGATTGTGTTATAGCAGAGAGAGAGACAGATGAGCTTTATTCTCCTTGTGTGTGAAACACTCTTTGATCTCAGCAGCTCTGATGGAAAAGGCCTTCATTTACACTTATTTTTTTGAGTCTCTAAAGACCATTTATGGGTGAATCTCACTAAAACAGACGCAGGTCACATGTCCCCCTGAAAGCAGAAGGAAAAAGATGTTTGTTTGCTTGTTGCCATTGCACATTAAAAGGCTTTTTGCAATGTTATGGTATTTATAATTTTAAAGACAATTAAGCACATTTGCACAATTATCATTATCCTAATGTGGCTGGATGAGTTTTATTTAATTCTACCTTAAATTAGTCAGTAATTATTGCAGGTTTTTATTTAATTCAGCTTAAATTAACTGAAGTATATATATTACCATGATGTAGTTGAACAAGTTTCTTCACAATGAGTGATTGTTTTTGTTTTTTTGCAAATTAGTCACTTGGCAACAAATTATAATGGTCCTTAAATAGGATTAGTTGCTTTAAATGAGCTGAGAAATATATATATATATATATTTTTTTTTTTAAATATGACCCAGACAGGAAAAATGTGTGGCAGAATTTTCTTGAACCAATTGTTTTGTGGTCCTTTATCCTAAATTATATTGGCTGATTTAGCAAATGACCGTTGTTATGATCGACTAACATCTGCATATTGATGTCATTTACATGACTATTCTTCAGTGAAGTTTCTGAACACTGGTGTTGATATGTAAATGTGGGTGCCATATGCTAATGAGCTCATGCATGTGATGTCGTATGCTAATGAGCTCATGCATTTGATGTCGTAATCATGCAGCTTTCTCAACGAGTTTGTTTTCGATAAATGTCATGTGTTGCTAGATTTGATGCTCCGTCCTCACCTACAGGATGGTTGTGTGTTCATGAGTTAAACTCTCTCATGACGTGTGTGTGTGTGTGTGTGTGTGTGTGTGTCCTGCAGCATGAGACGGGAGATGCTCAGGTCGATGGAGACGCTGTCAGAGCTTCGCGTGTGATTCTGCCACTGGAAATGGACGGCGCTGAGCATGTAAGTAATTGTCTGTCTGTGCAAATCAAACTCGTGCTGTTCTTCATCTTATAGATTCAGCTCAACAGTTTAGGAGACTTACACTGAAAGAAATGGTTCATGATTTACTTTGAAATAGAGCTGTGCGATTAAAAGTTAAAACACCCACATGATCTTAGTCCTAAATGACAGCGATTCGGCTCTGTCTATTAAACCCATTATCTCCGATCACAGTGAACATCCAGATGTGCGGTCTGTCATGTCGTAAGTGGATGTAAACACTGAGGACGAGCATGTGTGTATCGGTACATTGGATCCATGCGTTCGCTCTTAAAGTGACAGCACCCTAATAAACCTGCATCAGTCATTAGTGTTAATCAAACAACAAAAGACAAAGATGAAATCACTCACTGCTCTTCAATGAATAAACTGTAGTTTTAGCACAAATTAGTCTATAATTAATGCATGCAGCGGTGTGTTATTATATTTGATTACTTTTAGGGATGGGGCCGATCCGATCCAGTATCGGTATCGGGACCGATACCAGCGTAAATTCACGTATCGGATTTTCCCGATCCAACCTGCGGAGATATCCGATATCCATGAGCCATGCCTGCGCTTTAACGTTGTCTGCTGAAAAGACTCCAAAATTGATTCCCGCCGGCTAGTCTGCTAGCTGGCTGCAAACTGTGGAATGGATTTCCTGAACGGAGGCGCGGCTCAAATAGACACAGAGTCATGAGACACGCCTCCGCTCAGAAAATCCATTCCACAGTTTGCAGCCAGCTAGCAGGAAAGCATTGAGCAGCATTATGTCCGCTGTGTGGAAATACTTCACACTGGAAACACCGCGGAGCAAGACAGCAAAATGCAATGTTTGCAAAGCTGTAATTCAGAGAGGTGGAAGCTCCCTCGCGTCGGTCAACACAACGAACGCAATCAAACATTTAAAAAAGCACCACGTTAAAGAGCACGAGGATTTTTTAGCCAGTGGGCAGAAAGACAACGGGAGCCGTTTTATTGATAGTGTGTGTGTGTGTGTGTGTGTGTGTTAAGGCCCTTGCACACGGAGTCCGAAATTCACGTCTGAAATTTTCGCACGTTAAAAAATAAATACGACCTCACGTTATGTCAATCACGCTTGCATACTGCCACTGAAACTTTCGTCCGTCATAAAAAAAAATCTGCGTTTTTCGCATCCGTAGCAAGAAGTTTGAATAGAGTTTGAATGGTGTTTTGACAATTCAGAGCAGCTGAATCACGAATAGCCTACGAAAATGTTGGACTATTGCACTTTTCTTATATTTCTAATATTTTACATTTTAAAACCTTGATTTGTTGATGCTACAAGAGCCAGTGTACTTGTTTTTTTGCTGTTGATGCAAACTGTTTTATTGATAGTGTGTGTGTGTAAGATGTTTACACTTGCACTTTTCTTATATTTCAAGACTCAAGTATTTGACATTTTGGGAATGTAATAAATATTGACATGACAATCAATTTGAAACCCTTACAGTTGCATATTTGCTTTCAGAATGGGATTTTTCCTGTTAACAGGATTTCCTGTTTTTCTGACCTTATATTTACCTAAAGTTGCCTTTTAGGACATACACGCATAGATACGTACATATCATACTTGCCTGTTGAGAGGAGTTTATTTCAGCATCATATAAAATCAACAATAATGATAATAATAATATTAAAGCAAACACAGCTCTGGTATCGGAATAGAATCGGTATCGGCCGATATCCAAATTCAGGTATCGGGATCGGATCGGAAGTGAAAAAATGTGGATCGGTGCATCCCTAATTACTTTATTCAATTTCTGTTGTAGGCTGTTGCTTATCTTCCTGAAAAACCTAAAGCACTGTTTATTTTTGTTCTGTAAATTTTGTCTGTAATTTTGTTTATTTGTTCTTATAGTATTTCTGACTGTTTCCTTTAATTATTAATTAACCTAATATTAGTTTTGTAATTAAGTATTGATAATTGTGAAATTTCACCGACATTTAGCATTACTCACATCATAAAATAAGAGTTTGATCATATCACCAACCTATAATAATCTTGATTTCAATATTGAGCAAAATAATTGTGATTTATAATCTATATATTAAAAAAAAAGACAATTAACATTTAGTCAGAACCTCTAGTAACTTGCATGTTTTTGTTTAGTTGTCTGTTCAGAATCGTGATCTCCGTTTCAAACAAGAGAATCGTGATCTCCGTTTACCCAGAATCCTTCAGCTCTGCTTTGTAATTATTTGTTCAAGTTACTAGCAATTTCTGAGTGGAAATTATTTCAAAGAATCAGCAAGTAACACACTGAACTGAACGTGTTTTTTCTTTAAAATTTTGAAATAGAAAGACTGTATTTTCTTGTAAAACGTGCTCCAATAAGCTTTTCAGTAGATGTGACTCGAGTGTGTGCGCGTCTCAGACTGCTCTTGAGAGCTATTAGCTGAATTTGGCTTTCGGTATTAGTGCGATAGCTGTGACATTTATCAAACGCCTGCTATTAAACCATCGCCGGTATTTCCTGTGAATAAACGGGCTGCAGAGTTTTCTCTGGCATTAATTGATTCTCGATCTCCATATTCCTGTGATGGTCATTGAAATGCTTCATCTGTGCCTGTAGCGATGTCATCACATCAATCCGTACGGGACTCTTTGTGTCTCGGATAAAAGAGCCTCTCAGTCTCATGATATGCTAAACCACAGATGTGTGTGTGTGTGATGGGCTCATCTGAACTCTTCTCTCAGATCATGGTTTCAGATAAAGACTCGCATGATGTCCAGGCGGAAACCTCACACTGATTATGATGTGAGATTAGTGGCTCCAAACAGGGTTTTTGCAGAAATACTGATTGTTTCCAAGCAGGTTTTCCTGCTGCCTTTTCTCTGCCCGGCCTCTCGTCATTGGTCGGTCAAACAGAATGGCCCGCCCACAGACTCACGCCATTGGCTGAGTCAGAAAAGTACATGTTTCATCCACTTACACTGCCGTTCAAATGTTTGGGATCGGTAAGATTTTTAGTTTTTAAACAAAGAATCTTCTCAACTAGCCTGCATTTATTTGATTAGAAACACCCTTAGTAATATTGTTAAATATTATGATAATTTAAAATAACCATTTTCTATGTGAATATATAGTAAAGTGTAATTTATTCCTGTGATCAAAGCTGAATTCTCAGCATCATTACTCCAGTCTTCAGTGTCACATGATCCTTCAGAAATCACTCTAATATGAGGATCTGATGCTCAAGACACATTTATGATTATTATTATCAGTGTTAAAAAAAGTTTTTCAGGATTCTTTGATGAATTCAAAGTTCAAAAGCACAGCATTTATTTGAAATATAATCTTTTGTAACATTATAAGTGTCTTTACTGTCACTTTCGATCGATTTAATGAGACCTTGCTGAATAAAAGTATTAATTTCTTTAATTTTCTTACTTACCCCAATCTTTTGAACATGAGTGTATATCTGTCTCTGGTGTATTTCAGCATCAGAATATGTGCACATTTAATTCACCTTTAAGTCCAGATGGGCATCACTATGACATCAGGTGTGTGTCCGCTATCCTTCACGCTGTGTGTGTGTGTGTGTGTGTGTGTAGGATGAGTGTCGTCTGCAGTTAGAGGCTCAGCGCATCAGTCTCTCGCAGATCCACGCCGCGCAGCTCGAGCTGCTCATGGACACACACGAGCAGGAGCTGCGCAGTCGAGAGCGGGAGATGCGGGACACACACGAGCAGGAGCTGCGCAGTCGAGAGCGGGAGCTCATGGACACACACGAGCACGAGCTGCGGCGTTTACAGGAGCAACAGGGCCTCAGCGCTCCGTCCTCAGGTCAGTGAACATGAAACGAGCCCCGGTGTTTCAGATCTATTATTAAGAGACCCTTCAACATGAAAGAGAGAGACACTGTAAAACGGCTCTGTTTAACCCGCACTAATACAAACGTTTATGGTTAATGCTATCAGCAAAAATGGCTATATGTTATTGCTGCTAACCGATGTGATAGTAATGTTATAAATCAGGGATTCACAAACGTTTTTTTTGTCAGCCGACCCCTTTTGAGATTTGAACTTTCAATCATTTAGCAACACATTTGTGTTCATGGACTGCAGTACCCATCACGACCACTAGTCATTCTTACAGACTGCACCTTTAAGTTCGAAACTGAAGTCTCAAAACAGTCCAATTGATATTAGAAAACAGATTCAGACTGTAAAAAAGCTGATAAACACAAGCGTATAAGAATCAGGCATCAGTGGTGTTTTTCTCTCTTCTGTTGAACGTCCTGTGCTGTTTTATGTGAATCCCAGAGCTCTGTATAGTCACCTTCATTTATATAGAGCTTTTAACAGTATAGATTGTTTCAAAGCAGCTTTACAGGTATGATAGGAAATTAAAGTTATTGTCCAGCTAAAGTTAGTTTTGATTTAATTCACTTTTGTTGCAAAGATCATTACCGTATATACCCGAATATAAGACGAGGTTTTTGTCCTAAAAATAGGCTGAAAAATGTGGGGTCATCTTATATTCGAGTGGAGGAATCGATTGATAGCCTTTTTCTCCCGCGCCGTCGACTGACGAGAGCGCCGAGGATCACGATGTGATGCGGACGCGCTTGGAAGAAACGAGCGCGTCGCTTTGGGGGTCTCTGCTCGCTTGTCTCCGTCCCCTCTGGCATCCTCTGTGAACGGCGCTTTTTCTTGCGCGGCTCGAGCAGAGGGAGAGAGAGAGAGCGGGAGCCGGATCGTCGGCGAAAACGGCCAGACGACCCCGCAGGGCGGTTAAATCCATCCCGTCGTACTCAGGGCAGCCGCAGTCATGGCCAATCAGGAAGCGCATATGTGCCGGTCTCCGCCGACGAGCGGGCCTCTACACGAGGCACCGGTGATGCGAGGCATTTGGAACAACGCCTCGGAAATTTGCTCTTAAAATTATTTTCTGTTGAAAACCAGATTTTTTTCCACAAAAATCTATTTTCCCCCAAAAATAAGTCTGGAAAATGGGGGGGTCGTCTTATATTCGGGTATATACGGTAGTTATTAACTTAGGGGCCGCTTACACGACACCAACAACCCTTAAAGGCAGGGTAGGTAAGTTTGAGAAACTAGCAGAAAACTCCTGGATTTTGAAAGTATCCAACAGAGAAACACCCTCAATTGGGCTCCTTCCAAAGCCACGCCCCCAAAACACATGAACGCGTGATGCCGACCACTCACCTGGAGGAGCGTTCACCAGCGCCAAGCGGAGACGAGCGCAGGGCATGGAGTGACATCACCTGTTTCTGCCTTGTTTGCCTGCGCTGACTGTATATGCAGGTACAGGTGGTTCTGGGAATTTTGACTGCTCTTTCTCTGCCATAATTGTGAGACTTTCTAGCTTCCGGCCGGTACGTGCCTCTCCTCTTTCGAAATGAGCGAGTCAACCGGGCGTGCGCATGTGGACGGCTCCTGTAGCAGCAGGGGTGGTAGTCATGGTAGCGAGGGAGAGTGACAGTCGCCCAGCCAATCAGTGCATTCGTTCAGAATGGGGAGAGTAGCTGTGTTTATTGCAGCCCTGAGACGACTACAGACACTCGATTTTTATACTCTCCTTTTCAGAGTACTTGCATTTTAGATATGTATTGGTATATAAAGACAGTTTAAACTAATTTGGGCAAAAGTGTTTTAGAAACAAACTGCCTACCCTGCCTTTAATGGGCTTCGGCCGCTCATTCGCACAAAACAGTGTCTGGTAGCTCGAGAATGCTAACTGTGAAATGGGTTCCTTGAAAAAAAAAAAGTTATAAGTATATCTGCTCCCGCAGAGCCGAGTGAGCTGACGGTCCCGCAGCTGAAGGCTGAGTTTCAGGAGTGTAGGGCTCAGCTGGAGGAGACTCACCGGCGCGAGATCGAGCGGCTGAAGGTCTTCTACCAGCAGCAGAAGCAGGAGACGCAGGAGCGCTTCACCTCTGAGATCCTCCTCCTCCAGCAGAGACTACAGGAGCTCTCGGGCGCCGAGGAGCTCTTCAGGTGAGCCCTCTTCATCATCTCTGGTGCACAATGAGGCTTTGAGCCTAAAAATCACGCAATAGAGCAACAAACACTTCCATTAGGTAGGGCTGTGCTGGTAAACTTGACAACCGCACCACCATCATCTTCATCATCACGCAATACAGTAACACACACTTCCATCAGCTCCCAATTCACCCTTCGCAGGGAGTTTGATTGACAGGCGATCTGACCAATCATAATCCATATACCACCCCTTTAATGATTAAATGTAAAGAATTGTACATAAAAGATGATGTAAACTTTTAATTAGGTAAAAAAATGGCTTTATAAAGAAAAAAATGCCCATAAAAGTTAAAAATCAATGTAAACTTATTGGAAAAGATCATTTCTGTCACGGCTGTGAACTGGCCAGAATAGGGAGAATATGAAAACTTTATGAGTCAGCTGTTCACGGCAGTCATAAACCTGCCAAAATACCAGTACAATTACACACTCAGCAAAATATCGTATAATTATAGTTATCGATAAAAACCCAGAGAATATCAAGATATAATTTTTTCATGTAAGCAACATCAGAGAACCGTGAACGTGAAAGTTATAGAGACTCATAATCTAAGGGGTTCATCTGAGTCGAACAGATCGTTTGCGATGGACTCTTCCTTTATTAATTGTATTAATTAAAGTCAGAGTTTCTCTCAGTCGCTCCGCTGGGCATTTCAACGAAGCCCAGTAACTTCCCTTGCTGTCAGTTTGACGTTTACACACGAAAGGCTGAAAACAAAAGTCTTACGGGGTTGAACAACATGAGGGCGGGTAATTACTGACAGAATTTTCTCATCCGAAAATTTTGCACGTTAAAAAATAAATACGACCTCATGTTGTGTCAATCACGTTTACACACCGCCTCCGAATCGGGTTCGAGTTTCTGCGTTTTTCGCATCCGTTGCAAGCATTTTGAGAGGTGTTCTGACAATTCAGAGCCACCGAATGACCAATACGAAAAAACAAGGAGTGTGCAAGGACCTCTATCCAGGAGAAGACAAATACAGGAAAGGAAAGACATTGTTTGAATATGCAGGAATATATTTATAAAGCCTTTCTTGAGGCCTGATATCTGTCATATCGTATCCACTCTCTTTCACCAGCTAAAGTCTCCCGTTCCTGACATTATTTATGGAGAAAAATAGAGGAAAATGGATATTCTTTATAAAAATATATGTAAACTACACCATATTGAGTATGTCAGAACTGAGGAAGACTATCATGTCGTCAAATACAGTCTCGGTCTGTTTTAATGCATGCGTTGAATCTCTTTGAAAAACATTTCATATTTGGGTTTTATTTCTCCCCAAAATAAGAAGTAATCAGGGCCTGAGTTTCATGCCGTTTCAAACCTGGAACACGATAGAAGATATTTGTAAAACATCATCGTGTCCAAAACAACGCATGTCAATTAAACACACCGAACTCTCATCATTCATTTTTTAATGCAAAACATAATGTATCCTTTTCTTTCTAGTTTGTCGTATAATTTATTATTATTATTCTTGACATTTATTAAGAATATATTGTAATCCTCCTGTGATGTTAACGGTCATAGTAAGAAGTTTATTCATATATTTGTGTGTGTTTTTGAAGATTATTTTTGTCAGCGATTCCCAAGCGAACTGAACTAACAAGTTCCCCTGAGATTCAGTTCATATTTCAATAATTTAACAACACGTTCACGATTCACTGATGAGGGTTAATAATCACACGACATGCAGATAAACAAATACATTTCAGGGCCTGAATTTCGTTTTGAAAAATGGGGGAGAAAGGGAATTTTTTCCAAACAAAATTATTACATTTATCTTGCCTAAATGTTTGCGCTCATTGCATTTTTACAATGGGGTAATATTGTTGTTAAGAGTTTACACATCACAAGGAAGCTTGATTTAAATTGTTTAATTAAATTGAAAAAAGTAGCACAAATAAATACAAAAGAATAAAGATACAAATAAAGAGAAAAGTTTTTGAATAGGTCTAACACTAGTATTCATATACAGAAACTGAATAAAGTAATCAAATGGAAAATAACACTGGGTAGTATTTTAGTCCTGAATAAATTAAATACATATAGGCTATTAATCCTGATTCCTTTAGCTTAAAGCTATCTTTGGTTGTTTTGACGACACAATTAATGACAGACACATATGGCTGCCGTCACTTTAAGAGCTAGTGCACGGATCCTGTGTTCATTATACTGGCATGCGTTTTATGCTTATTAAAGACAAAACCGACTATGTTTAGAGTATACTCACGAACACCGAAATTGACAAAATTTTGCGTGTTAAAGCAATATAATCCGCGAAAAATAACTTTTGTTACTGGCCAGCTGTTCATGAGGCGGATTCTCTATGAATGTGCGCATGGATAATCATCTCAGAGAGCGGTGAGCGCTGATTAGTTTAAAATCACTTGAATGTTTAAACTGGTAAGACTTAAAAAGACGTGCAAATGGTAAACTTCAGTCACGATGCACTGCTGGCCCGATTGTGCGAGTGAATATTGCGTCATGTCCCGACATGTTATCGCCGCAGCGCTTGATGCTTGCCAACACATTTTGAGAGAAGAGAAGACGCGGCACCGCTGAACACTCACGCTGTTTGTGAAATTGCGTCTGGCAGAGAGTTGTTAAAAGAAAGATTTGATTTTATAATCAGTGTGGATTACGATTGCGGGAATTTCCCGCATTATAAATGGGAGACCTGCGGGAATGATTAGAATTATGCGCAATACCCGCAATCCCGCGCCGAAATTCGAGCCCTGAATTTAGTGCTGGGCAACGATTAATCGCATCCAAAATAAAGGTTTGTGTTCACATAATATATGTGTGTGTACTGTGTATAATTATTTTGTATATATAAATACACACACGTGCATATATATATATATATATGAAGAGTTCAGATGCAAAACCCTCTAAATCCGTCAGACTTATTTTCTTTAAATGAGCATTTTTTTATCAGGCTCCTATGTTCACGTCCCGTAGTTTCATTTTAAAGGTACTGATAAGGTTATTAGTCAGTGAATAAAATAACTTTTTTTCAAAAATGTCACTTTAGTCAATTCAGTGATTTTTTTTTAACAAATTAGATTTTCTTTTGTGTCAAAAACAGCTAAATCCACTTGTGCTTTTTTCGCAAAAACCTCTAAATACACCTCTTTGGGACAAGACATAATAAATAGCTGTAAAATCACTAAAAATGTAACTAGAAACACTGAAAAAGATTAGAGCACATTCATTTCAAAACTAAACAGTAGACAAACCTCTTTACAGGGGGGCTGAATGAGATATTTGCAAATCCCACCCCATTTCTCTGCAGTCACCTTTCTGCCCTGTCTGAATAAAGACAAAAGCCTCCCCCCGATTCACACAGTATAACCACATTGGCAAAAAAGAATTGGCGATTCAAATAGTGTATTGTATAATCAAGTAGAACAGAGCAACATTCCACTGTACCGATTTTCTTTTGCCTTGTAACGGGAAGAGTTTTGAGGTAAACAACGTTTTTTTTCTGCCATTTGATGTCAGTAGGACAGGCTCATCCATTTAATCGTACTCCATCTTAAAAATGTAAAAAATCTGAATCCAAAACCAAAACAATCTCCTCAGCCGTCTCAAAAAATCCGTCTCCTCCGCGCGCCACTCTATTGAAACAGCCTGTACTGATTCGCGCCTTCTGATTGGTTCTTGGGATGTAGCGGCTTTTGCTGCCAAAGAGAAGTGGCGTCTAGAGGCTTTTGCCGACAAACTGATATTTCTGAATGGGCTGAGGCTGAGATTTAGAGGATTTGAAGCAAATATATTTGTTGAACGTGTACTATGTTCAGATAGCTTTCACTCAATGTCATTATCTCATTTTTGACGGAGGTGCCGTTTAGAGGCTTTTGCATCTGAACTCTTCATATATATATATATTAAGAAATATTTGCATGAATATACTATATACATATTTATGCATAATTTATTATATAATATTATATATATATATATATATATATATAAATAACACATTTTTCTTAAATATATATATGCATGTGTGTATATTTATATATACAAAATAATTATACACAGTACACACACACACATATATTATGTGAACACAAACTTTTATTTTGGACGCAATCTTTTTAGTAAGTGTTCATGAGCTCATTAACTCTTAAACGCCCTGCCGTTCCCTCACAAACCCTAGGTTATGTTTGAGGTCGACGTTTCTGCTGACGTTCACTCAGTGTGTGTGTGTGTGTGTGTGTGTGTTCCTCGCAGCGTGCCGAGCGCCAGTGTGCCCCTGACCGGAGACGAGCGAGCTGAACAGCATCAGGTCAGTCTAACCTCAGAGTTTCTCTGTGATTCACTGTGAAGTCCGTCAGTGCGAGCCGCCCTACATCTCAGAGCCGAGGAGTCTGGGTGTTACGCAACACAACCTCACGCATGAGCGGACATCTCACACACACTCCCACACACACTCTCACACACACTCTCACACACACTCTCACACACACCCTCACACACACTCTCACACACACCCTCACACACACTCTCACACACACTCTCACACACACTCTCACACACACCCTCACACACACTCACACACTCTCACACACACCCTCACACACACTCTCACACACACTCTCACACACACTCTCACACACACTCTCAGACACACCCTCACACACACCCTCACACACACTCTCACACTCTCACACTCACTCACTCACTCACTCACTCACACACACACACACACTCACTCACTCACTCACTCACTCACTCACTCACACACACACACACTCACACACTCACTCACTCACTCACTCACTCACTCACACACTCACACACACACACACACACACACACACACACACACTCACTCACTCACTCACTCACTCACTCACTCACTCACTCACTCACACACACACACACACACACACACACACACACACACACTCACTCACTCACTCACTCACTCACTCACTCACTCTCACACACACTCACTCACTCACTCACTCACTCACTCACTCACTCACTCACACACTCACTCACTCACTCACTCACTCACTCACACACACACACACACACTCACTCACTCACTCACTCACTCACTCACTCACTCACTCACTCACTCACTCACTCACTCACACACACACACACACACACACACACTCACTCACTCACTCACTCACTCACTCACTCACTCACTCACTCACTCACTCACTCACTCACTCACTCACTCACTCACTCACTCACTCACTCACTCACTCACTCACTCACTCACTCACTCACTCACTCACTCTCTCACACACACACACACACACACACACACACACTCCGCCTCCTCTCCTCTCTGTATCTCACTGCTGCTTCTCTCTCAGGACGAGGAGCGTGTCTCTGTGATCGCTGGGTCAGGTCTGTGGCGTGAGCTGCAGGCCGGTCAGAAAGCCCCGTGCGAGAGCTGGCGTGAGGAGCTGACGGATCGGGATCGGGAGCGACGGCCCGGATCTCCTCCCGGACGCTGGCGGGAGAGACACCAGCAGGAGCAGCTGGAGGAGGAGATCGCTAAGGTGCTTCAGGAGACCTCAACACTCGCACGTCCTTTATAGCAGTGTTCGGGTTATTGAAGTGTACACTTTACAATACGGTTCATTAGATGAAATGTATTTGTTTAAAATGTGCCTTGAATCGACAGTCTTGATGAGTTTGATCTTGATAGCTTGTCTTGAATGGAGGACTTGATGATGTTGTGTGTGTCAGGTGATCGTGCAGATGTCGGTGGAGTTCGCCCAGCACACCGAACACACACGCATCAGCAAACAGGCCAGAGAGACGAGCACCGCTGTACAGACGGACCGAGATGAGGCGGCCGAGGTGAGCTCACGCACGGGTCACACACACACACACCAGGACACACTCGGTGCAGAAATCACTGAGGAAAGCGTTCTGAACACTGTTATTATTTTGGATTTTGTTCATGTTAATTTTGATTCTTAATACGAACTTCGTCATCAATTACGTTAATGTATCAGTTTTTAACACTCCGATTCATTTTGCCTTGAACTCGAAGACCTGTGTGTGTGTGTGTTCATGCAGTAAGTGTGAGCTGAGGGGGCTTCAATACTACAAAATGACACTCGGCCTAAAGATGACCCCCCCCCCCACACACACACACACACACACACTCAAACACACAAACCCCAGTTTACGCAATTGTTGTGATCTTGGCATCAGTTAGCCTGTAATTTAATGCTGGTTAATGTTAATATTGTCTATTAAGAAAACATGAAACCACAATCACAACACATTTAATTTCTAAAGTGGCGGATTTTCTATTGAGTGAAACCGGATAATCGGGCAGAGATAAAGGACAGGACGTTAACCGTCATGAATGAACTGAATTATAAAATGATAGGCTGTGATAGTTGGATTAGTGTTTGTGTGTGTGTGTGTGATGAGCAGGTTTAGGGGTAGGGTTAGTCTGTGTGTGTGTGTGTGTGTGTGTGTGATGGGTAGGTTCAGGGGTCAAGTTAGTGTGTGTGTGTGAAGGTTTAGGGGTCAAGTTAGTGTGTGTGTGTGTGTGTGTGTGTGATGGGTAGGTTCAGGGGTCAAGTTAGTGTGTGTGTGAGATGAGCAGGTTTAGGGGTAGGTTAGTGTGTGTGTGTGATGAGCAGGTTTAAAGGTAGGTTTAGTGTAAGGGGAGAGAATATACAGTGTGTCCTCATTTAGATAGCTAAGTAAACGTGTGTGTGTGGTATTCTATATTGCACACCAGTACAGTGTGTGTTTACTGTCCTCCTCCACCAGGTGGTGTCTGTCACCTTACAAACCTTTCTATCTTTCCTCTCAGGTGCAGCTGTTGCTATGGCAGCAGTGAAAGCCCCGTCTGATGTGTGTGTGTTTGTGTTTGACTCTGTGTGTTCGTTGCGCTCGGCCTGACAAACGCACCTCAATAGAAAGGCTGTTTGAAAGAGTTTGAGCTGCCGGTGATTAAATGACGGGCTTCTTATATGCCATTTCTTTTCTGCCTGTGCATAAACTCCAGAAGGAAGAGGAGGAGGAGGAGGAAGAGGAGGAGGTGATAAAGGGCAAAGGTCATGGAAGGAGCGAGACATCACAGTCATCTGACCCAGAGCTCGCATCTGATGACATCATCACAGAGCGGTGAGGAATAATTAGAGCTCATGAAAAAGTTCTGTGACGTCGTTAGAACTGATGGATTTACAAACAGATAGATAGATAGATAGATATAGATGGATAGATGAAGAACAGATAGATAGATAATCTCACACACACACACACACACACACCCAGATCTCAGTCATCAGTAGTGTTCTCCTCAGGGATCTGCTGCGTGAGGCGAACGCTCGTCTGGTTCTGGTTCTGCTGGAGGTGCTGAAGACCACAGCGGCCGCGGAGGAGACCATCAGCCATGTGGAGGCCATGCTGGAGGCCAGTCCGGGTCACATGACCCCAGCGGAGCGGGTCAGACCGGGACCTGCTGGAGGTCAGACACACACAACACTCCTCAACTCCATCTCAAACCCTTTCACCTGTTCATTTGCCTTTTATTTCATTTGAAATCATCAGGGGTCTTTCTTCAGCTTTATAATCAACAATGACATCACTTCATAATAAATGTCAGTCACACATTAGCTGCGTTTCCACCGTCGGGCCGCAGCGCTTCACTAAACACACCCGCAACACACACCTCTCTGGAACAACGACACACACACACACACATCATTTCACCAACAAATGGAAGTTTATCAGAAATAAATCACTGGAAACAGCGAGATCGCAAGCAAACATGATAAAAGCGACTTCTGTAGTTTACTGGAATATTTAAAACCCAAGCGCTGATGTTTCTCCACAGGTTTACAATAAAAAAGATCATAATATTAATATGTGTCACTATTGCACATCATTAGTCACACAGAAATAAAGTGGTTTACCGCTATTTCTCAAAAGAAAGAGGAGAAGTGCACTTATTCAGCCATGTATGTTTCTGTTTATTTGCTCACAGGACAGTACGTTTACATCACACTTACAAAGAATGATCATTTCTACAAATATGCCACCAAAAAAATCCGCCCCGAGGAGCTTTAGCATCTCTCCCAGTGCAGAGGAAGCTCTACTGCTTTATTGTAGGACATATGCGGAGCTAAATATGATATCAGGCGTCCGGTATAAAGACACAAGACGCACTGACAGATACAATACAAACATGATTGTGATAGCCTATGTTTTGTCTGATTTCTTCAAGCAGTCATATTTACCATGTTTACTATGGTAATGGTTAGCACACATTGTGTGTAAATATTACATAAATGTTTCATAAATATTTCTGCCTTGTACGGAGATCAGAATCCACATCGGATCACAAACAGAAGGCTTTCAAACATGAAAGTGAGTTTTGAGCTAAAATAATTTTTTTAATGTGTGTTCTGCTGAAATGTTTAGTAAAGATTTAAGAAGGACGTGACACTGAAGTCACAGCGACGCTCGTCTGCGAAGGGTTAATAACAGATGACAGGACCGTTTAATTGATATGTAGGAACCAGTGAAGCCACACCAGATCCTGTCTGTCTCGTTTGTCCCTCTCTGTTGACTCATTGTCTTTGCATAGAGATGTTTTGTGTACTGTTGAGGCGAGGTCATGTGACCGGTGCTTGGGTGTGTAAAGGGACGTCTCGTGTCATGTGATCGACTACTCCTGTAACTCGACACCCAAAACTGTCTGTTTGTGATTTCACCCATTCTTCTGCGTGTCTTAATCGGCTGTCTCTTATGTCTCGCCAAAACATCATTTGCAAAACATATCATGCTTTATTAGTGATAGTCAAACTATAGCGTGATTTTAAGGCCCCCTGAAATCAAATTGTAAGTTTTTTAGCTTTCAGTATGAATATGTTAGCTTTAAGGTTATGAATAATCTGGTGTGCTCCAAAACAATGACAAAATTAGCATTTAGGAGATAAGCATTCAAAACTTAGTCTTCGCAGACTGTCCATCACATCTTCTGTCCAATCAAATGCTCTCTAGAATCTGAAGCTCCGCCCCCTGTGCTATAAACACCACCTGGCCAAACCCACCGTTCGTTGACACGTCGCAGAGCATTATGGGTCTTTGCCAGGGCCGATATTGTCCACACCACTCTTTGAAACATCTCTAGGTAACTAGCAGAGCATTCATTTCGTTCATTTGTTAAGTTAAATATAAAAATAAATAAGTCTTCACTTGCACACGCGCTTCTATCGCTAATCGCTTAATTCGTTCCGGTGAAATCACAAAACAAACTGCACACAAACGTGTCCCTGCTTGACACACAACCACTGATGAACATTCGGTTTTGATGAGAAAAAATAAACTATACGAGTGCGGATTAGAACCCAGAACCTCTGACACGCTTGGCAAAAGTTCTGCCAAAATTAAACCCAAATTAAACCCAGTGTACTATGTTTTCCCCCAAAAATGTATTGTACATATATCTGATTTAGCATTGTATAGCAAGCAACCCCCCCCACACACACACACATCTGGCCCACACACTTTTTAAAAACAAAATTACGTCACTGGTTGGAGATGTGTGTTTTATTCCGTTGTCCAACTTGTACGTTGGTTAAGAATGAAATGGCCATAATTTATTCACACCTCTACTATTAAATCCAGCGTATCATCAGCGCTCGGATTCGCTTCCAAGTCTGTGAGGGAAACTAAACGCTATTGCCTGTTTGAAAAGGGGGAGGAGCCATTCAATGTCTCGCCTTAGCTTCCTGTTTCAGTGGAAATTACGTCAAACAAACAAAGCTGCGCATTTAAAGGTCATTTCAATCCGGGCCTGTTTAGGATGCATAACTTCTGCCTCTTATTTCTGTAATATTGTGCCTGATTCAAAAGAGAACGACTGCGTTGATGATCTCAGCTCACTTACTCACTGTTTTGATGAATCTCCTCTGTCCCGTACACAGACGCTGATGACGTCAGCATGTTTTCAGCGGAGGCCGATGAAGGGCTGGAAATGAAGATCCCGGGGGCGGGGCTTCTGTGCCAGGGGGCGGAGCTTCAGCTGCAGGGGGCGGAGCTCCAGCTGGAGAGGGAGGAGTTTCTGATGAGCATCAGCTCACGCTTGCAGAGCGCCGTAGAGAAGCTGCTCATCGCCATCACTGACACCAGCTCTCAGGTACGGCAAGCACAGGGAGACAAAACTGTGGACCGTTCAAATCAGCATATTAGAATGATTTCTGAAGGATCATGTGACAGTGGCTACGTTTACACACAACTTTTGTTTCAATCGGACTGAATTCATTCTGATTGATGAATCCGAACGTAGTGTTTACATGAACACTAAACGTGATCGGATTGATGTGCGCGTTTATATGTCACAAGATTCAAATCTGAATACCGTAAAACTTCAAATAATAGCCGAGTCCCAAATAGACGCCTGTCTCTTTTACACGCCTGGTGTGGCTGCAGGTTTGGGTAAATAAAGGCCGGTCTCAAATAGAGGCCGGGTCTGTTTTTTAGTTTCGGGTTGTATTTAATCCTCTAAAACCGCCAGATCCTCCGCTTTTTGGCGGCCGCCAAAGCAAATTGTTGTCCCTCCAAAGCCTTTTTTGATCAATGAGTGATGTAGAATAGAATGACTGCTGCACCCCTTTGGCTGCGCCTGACAGGGCGCGTTACGAGCAGAGAGAGAGAGAGAGAGAGAGAGAGAGAGAGAGAGAGAGAGAGAGAGAGAGAGAGAGAGAGAGAGAGAGAGAGAGAGAGAGAGAGAGAGAGAGAGAGAGAGAGAGAGAGAGAGAGAGAGAGAGACCCGGCCGCGCGCGCGCACTCCCACGTCTTCAAACAACACGAGCGCTGTCTTGCTCTCTCTCCCTCGCGCATATTAATCAAAATCAATTGACGCGATAGTAAAAGGTCGGAAGACCGCAGTTTCACGTGGAGCATTTGGAGATTTTTAGAGATTAGAGACTGAACAACATCTCAATGAACAACATCTCAACACTAAATTATAAAGGCCTGTCTCATATAGACGCCTGTCTCAAATACAAGCCGGTGCAGTTCGACGATTTGGGAAAATAAAAGCCCGGGCTACTATTTGAAGTTTTACGGTATATATTTTGACATGCGCACACTGCACACAGAGGTTTACACCAGCACTCAGGTACGGCAAGCACAGGGAGCCAAGATAAACGCTTCGACTGTGAACCGTTCAAATCATCATATTAGAATGATATCTGAAGGATCATGTGACACTGAAGACTGGTGTGAAAATTCAGCTTTTTACTGTAATATTCACATAGAAAACAGCCATTGGAGTAATATTTCACAGTTTTTACTGTTTTTGATCAAATAAATCTAGCCAACCGAAGAGACTCTTTCCACACATTTAAAAATAGAAGTAATTGTCAAGTCAAGTCACCTTTATTTATATAGCGCTTTTTCAAGCAGCTTTACAGTAGTGCTGCACGATTAATCGTATCGCAATCGTAATCGCGATGTCAAACCTATGCGATTATATAACGCAAAATGCCGCGATTTTATATGAAATAAACAAATTAGTGCTATTAACACCGTATCTCTTCTTTTTTGTCATCCTTTAGTGTTACATGATCCCGCTCTTATTCGTGCAAATGCCTTAAACCATTTTGCACGACAAGAAGTCAAAAGAGAGCGCGCTGCCTGTGAATGTCCTGAATGTGACTCACAGAATAACGTGCGCCAGTGTAATGCGCATGCACACAGACCGCGTGCCAGAATACAGTTCTCTTTCGAGCTTGAACGAACAATAACACACACACACAATTATGCCAAAATGTCGTTTTGTCGATTATCTTCATAACATAAGAGCAGTCTTATGATGGACGAAAGAGTTGTGCTTGTGAGAGAATGAGGCGCGTGTGAGATCCGCGTCTCGGCAACGGCTGCTCTTAAAGGGCCAGCAGCGAATAAAGCGTTCAGTCGGTAAAGTTAATCAAAGAACAAAGGGAACAGAAAATTACTCACTGCTCTTGACTAAAGAAGTTTTGTAGCTTTAATAAGTATTAGTCTATATATAATTTATAATTCATGCAGCGCAGACTGTTTGATAACTTTATTCAATTTATGTATATAAATTAGTGCTGTTAAGCGATTAAAATATTTAATCGCGATTAATCGCATTCATGTCATAGTTAACTCGCGATTAATCGCAATTAATCACACATTTTTATCTATTCTAAATGTCTCTTGATTTCTGTTTGTCCCATTATTTTTTCTCATTTTAATGCTCTTATCAACATGGAAAAGTGGATCGGCTTGCTTTGTGCAAATGTTTTTTATTGAAAACTATATTGGCATATACTGTGTTCAATTTCACACTAACATTCTCACTTGGAGCAAATAATCTCTCAATTTAACACTGTCCATCAATAAAAGGGTGAAAGAAATACTGACGAGGTCCTGATATTGACGAGGGGGTGGAGAATTCGCATCAGCTGTGTGTGTGTGTGTGTGTGTGTGTGTGTGTGCTTGGCCATCAAGTGGTGTTTCAGACTGGACGTGCTGCGATGATGATAGCTCAGTTCACAACGACAAAACACACAGATCACTTTGGTCTCGTCAATGGAACCATTTGGCAACTTTTTAAAAGTAAACTTTCCATTCAGAATCTTATTGGAATCCATTTCGGCGTCTCGCGCTCGTCAAAACGTAACGTTAACCTACTATTTGGCCGGCTCGCAAGCCTAAACAAGTGTGTGCGGCGTGCCTGTTGTTTTGTGCCGGTCTAGCTAGATCCGCTTGCGCTTTGGTCGTCGAAGCAACAAAACGTCCTCGCGCGGCGCAAGCCATTGAAATGAATGGGTTTCATAGCGCCGCGCCGCGTCCTGTTGCAAAAGCATGTGAAAAAAACTACAAAGTTTCCTAGGCCAAAAAGACCGTTAATCGCGCGATAAAAAAAATTAACGCCGTTAAAATGTGTTTGCGTTAACGCCATTAATAACGCGTTTAACTGACAGCCCTAATATAAATCTGTATATAAATCCTCAATCCTACCTGTTAAGACAGGAAGGGCACAGGTAAATATGGCATTTATTATGGGTTTATGTGAGGATTGTTTGAAGTTCACTTAATTTAAAAGCTGTTATTTTTTTTAAGCCTAATAAATATTTTAAAAGTTGATAGCTTTCAATTATATTGATGGAATCACTGTAATGTTGGATGGCTATAATTAACGTTTAAAATGTGGGGGGTGTCGTCATTTTTACATCAATGGTTTATTGATCATTATAGGTGTTATCAATCATTTAGTTGTTGTTGCTAGTTTGAGTTGAGAAATACACATTAATACACAGAATGATCACTAATCTGTGTGTGCATTTTACTTTAGAACCAAGCAAGTTGACTCATGAAACCATTTGTTTATTATATCGCAATCGCAATATTGACCTCATTAATCGCAATATGACATTTTCCCCAAATCGTGCAGCCCTAATTTACAGTGATAACAGGAAAATAATGCAACAAAGTTTGTTTCCAGAAGAGAATAGCGTCACAGTCCAGCTTAAGTAAGTTCAGTGATGCTTCATTTTTGTTGTAAAAAGGTTATTAATTTAGTTCATTTATATATATATATATATATATATATATATATATATATATATAGCCGCTCTGGAGAAACCAGTGATGTCATCGTCCAGCTCAGTTCAGTTCTCATATATTGCTGTCAATGCAGCAGATCAATAATACTGCTGAATATTACATTAAATGCCAGTTGTAATAGTTTGTTTCTGAAGCAGGATTAGGTCATGTTTAGTGCGTAGATGTTGGTTAAACACATTGTCTTTGGATCATTAACTAACACTGCTGGTTATATCAGATGAACGAACGCTTCCCATGAGGCATCAGTGCTCAAGCTAATGCTCACAGGACACAGTGGGCGGAGCCTCTAGATACCAGCTGATTTGCATAATGCTTTGGTCTCCGTGGCAGCAGCTTAACATGCGTAAAGCTGAGTGTGTGTGAAGTAAAGCGAAACCCTCTTTCCCAATAGCTTACGTTGGCTTCGCTCTGATCATCACTTCCTGCCAGAGATTAATATCTTGACTGCTGAATTTGCTGATATTGATATTTTATGCCACAGATTTAAAGATCGGATCAGATCCTGTTCGACTTGAAATGTGAGCAAATGAGAATGCGGGATTCAAACTGGGATTTAGTTTAGAGAAAACCAGTGTAAAAACTGTAAAAATAAATAATTAGATTTAAATAAATAAATAACAATAATATTAAAATGAATAAAAAATAGATTAAAATCCAAATTTAATATAAATAAATGAGTATAGATTAAAATAAATAACATAGATTAACAAATAACCGATTAAAATAAAAATGTTATTAGTAAATTAATAAAATAAATAATACAATTAGATTAAAATCAACAAATAAATAATATACAGTGCTTTAGTTATTAAATATATATATATAAATAATGGATTAATAAAATAATATAGATTGAAAAGAACAATTATTTTAATGAAAAAAGAATTGTTTATATCAGTAAATAAATTAAATAAATAATAAAAATAGATTCAAATACAAATAAATTAATGAAATAAATAACAACTGTTAAAATAATATTAATAAATCAAATAAAGCAACAAAAAAAATCATTATAAAAGTTAATTAAAAATAAGTACAAATGATAAAACATAGATTAAAATAAACAAATAAATAATACATAGGTCAGTACTATAGTGAGTAGAAAGTTTCCAAATAACATTTTATGTATATTTATTTTTCACAGTATAAATTGTATGTATAAACTTTATACACACAAATGTATAGCTTCCTTTTGCATCTAAAAGATTAAACAAACCCTAATCAGAGCCATTCTTCTGTTAGCGATAATAAAACAGCAAAGCACCTGTACATCAACCCTCGAGCGCACATACGTCCAGGTCTGTGTGTGTGTGTGTGTGTGTGTGTGTGTGTGTGTGTGTGTGTGTGCTCGGGTCTAATGGAGCGCACATAAGTCCAGGTCTGTGTGACGGGTGTGTGTGACGAGTGTGTGCTCGGGTCTGATGGAGCGCACATAAGTCCAGGTCTGTGTGACGGGTGTGTGTGTGTGTGTGTGTGTGTGTGTGTGTGTGTGTGTGTGTGTGCTCGGGTCTAATGGAGCGCACATAAGTCCAGGTCTGT